AATCGATAGCCGTCTCCGGTATCAGCATACCACCCTCACTCGTTCCCCTCACCTTCGCTGCCCACGAGATTCCTTTATCCGGTGGGTCTCCCGGTGGCCTTGTCCCCTCTCCAATAACCATCATGGTTGCATCATGTTCACCTTGCTTCGGAGCCCTAGAATCGCCTTCCATTTCTTAACCATATCTTTTTTAATATGAGACTAATGATCTGGAAGTTATTACTATATAATATACAGAATAATACTTATAATATAGTTATACAAAAGTAAATAATCCATTACATATTATTTGAGAAGTAACATTATTGAAAATAGCTGATTTGTCAACACTACAGCCAAAGTTAGTGCTTTTAATTGATGACATGTAAATGTGACATGTCAAACTTCCTAAAATAAACGAAATGTTTTGATTGGTTGAATTAAAACATAAATAAACTAGATTATATTTATAACAAATTTAAATTAACAGAAAATAAAAGTTATTATAATTTTAATTTTTTACATATATTCATAATTTCATAAAATATAATTACAAATTTTTTTAACAATATATATATTATAATTTCATATAAAATGGACAAATAATACTAAATTATTCAATAGAATAATAAAAATTCTATTTATTAATAATACTTGAAGTATGATATATTTTTATTTAGGGAAGTTATTAATTTACAAAATATATTAATAACATCTAAACAAATTTTAAATAAACAAATTATTAAATAATACAATTTTAAATAAAATACAATCATGATAAAAATAATTTAAACAATAAAATATTAAAAATAATAAAAAATAATCAACTTTTATTGAATTTGTTTTTAAAAAAACGTAATTTTAAATAATTTTTCTTTTCAAACCAATATTTACTAAATGAATAAAGTATATACTAATTATTATTTTATAATATTAATAGGACCATATATATTTCTATAACTTTTATCATCTTTTTATTGTTATTTTCTAAAATGTACATAACTTATGTTACCATCTCATCTTATCTCTTATCATATTTTAAATAAAAATAAATTTTATATCATATGTATATATATACATAAATTTATTTTCATTGTTTATCAAAATTTTGAGAACATAAATAAAATGAAAAATAACCGAGTGAAAGAATAAATTATAATAAGATGAAACTTATAATATGAATAAGAAATAAAAATAGAATTATATAAAAATAAATCTGTCGCATTTTATTTTACAAAGTCACTTAAAAACTTTTAACACCTAAGAGTCATATTTCAATTTTTTTACAAATACGAGTACAAACATAAATATTAATTGTACATTAGTTGAAGTCACATGCGAACTTTTCCGTGCATGTATTTTGTTAAGATTGATTACAGACTAATTTTTATTTTAATTATTATACAAATTATATTTTTAAAAAAATATTTATCTATTCTAAATGTAGTGAAGTGGTTGGTATGTCTGCACATGCGTGTCAACCATCTATCCGCTCTTAAAAATAAGTAAAAATTGTAAAAACTATTTCAGTTTAATTTGCAATAAATCAAAAAAATATATTTAAAATATATTATATATGTATTTGCAAATTCATATTATGTAAGACGCAAAAAAACATATTGTAGATTGTGTAAGAAGAAATAAAGCATATTATAAAAATATTCAAAAATATTATAAAAATTTAATTATTATTTAACATAACTTTTATATTTATGATTATATATTATTACAAAAATTATAAAAATAAAGTTTTTAAAATACATTGGTTTCAGAAAGAAGTTTGTAAAATATTAAAACAATATATATACAAACATACCAATATTTAAAAAAACTAATCAATATTTAAATATTACAATTAACAATGTATATAAAAAAAATTATATCCGCATATACATATGTGCGGGCAACCACCTAGTATTATGTTTATGTGAGGGTACTCCTACAAAGTAAAATTGGTATTTGTATTAAGGTTGTTAATGCTTATTCACGTGAAGGAAATAGTAAAGGTTGTTAATGCTTATTCCTTTATTTTATGTGATAACGATCAATTCATGTTTCAACATTTTATGCTCGTTGCTTTTTAAAAATTATTATTATTAAATCATCCCAAAATAGGTTTAGGAAACAAAGGCTTCGACAGAGAAAACGAACAAAACTGTAATAATGGGCTCGGTGATTTAAATTGGCAACCCTCAAATGTAAATCTAAAAGATCATTCTAAAATATTAAACATTTAAATTTATGGATAAAAAGGTGGATGACAAGATTTGAGTTTAAAAGTAACAAATAAACAAATTTAAATAATTACTTAAAGAATACCTATTAAAAAACATAACACATCCTAATCTCTATTAAAAAAGAAATTTACAACATAAATGTGTATATATATATACATATTATGACAAAAAAAATTAAAAACATTTAAAAAAGATAAATATAACATATTATAATATAGAATAAACATATATAATAATAGTAGTATAAATATAAAAAATTTAAAACTAAATTTATAAATAAGTCTACACAATACGTGGGTCAAAATCTAGTTTTTAAACCGGCTGGTAATCCTTAACGTAATACAGAAGTTACATAAGTAGTAAAATATATTTAGTTCAAAGAAAATACAAAATACACAAAAGGTTATGATCGTCGAATTACGGTGTGGCAGATTACAACGCCATGTAGGTGAGATTGATCGGGTCCCTTATGTTAGACTGACTTGCTTATTCTTTAGGAGCCATAGTGGTTATAGTGTTTTTGGCAGGTGCATCAGGCTGACCCATCGGCTTGAGGGTAATAGGATCTATGTCGTAAACCTGCAAAATCGCGTCCATACCTAGCTTAAGCTCGTGCATGTCTTCCTTCAGCACCTTTAACGTCTCTTCTATATTGGTCATCCTCATATCCATCTCTAGCTTTCGACGACTAGAAGTGGTGACCGGTTTGTAATTCGGATCGACGTTTTGGTACCATGTTGATCCAAGACCATAGAAACACATACACTCTTTGTAAGACGTTGTAGTAATAAAAAAAAAACAAGAATAGTTTCAACACATGTAAATTATATAGTAAGCAACGTGAAACATATTACATATTACATATGTATAGTGAAATTAATTGTTGAAATAAGATAGAATTACCTCTAAATACGCGGTATTGCGTTGATGGCAAGAGGCTCCAGTAGCGGTTGATCCAGTCTTGCTGTCAACATCTGATTCATCTGAAACCGATTCATTTGTACAAGTCTCAACCACTCCTACGCACCAGTTCTTTCGTTTGTGGACTAAAGACCCATCTTTCTCTGTGTCAGTCTTGCGCACCAGTTCGGTTGTTGGTGCTACTTCTTCACCGGTCTCTACCTTGTAATAAAAAAGAAAGTAAAAGATTTAAAATATTGAAAAATTATAAACTTAAAATGAAATTTAAAGTTAAGTTACCATTTCATGAGCAATTTTGCTGAATTTGATATCCTCCAAAGAATGGTTTTGCATGCCAAGTCTGTCCTTATTTGAAATGTTGTTCTTCGATGCGGATTTGCTCTTCTTGACCATTTGTTCTGTCTCCCAAGTGTTGTCAAGTTTCTTCGCCGATCTCTTCCTCTTGTTATGTTCATGGGACGAAGAAGCGCCTCGGTGGTTCATATCTGCAAACAAAATTTAAAAATCTAATCAACTCTATAAATTGCAAAGTCCTAATTAATTAATAAATTTAACAATTACACAGAACCAAAACCCTAAGTAACTGTAAAGACTCGACCTGTTCAAAACTTCAAATAAATCATAAACTATGCTCTAAACTTTATATAGGAAACATACCCTTGATGTTAATTTGTCAACTGTTTTTATATCACTGTAAATTTGAAATCGCATTCAGAAATGTTCTAAAAGAAATTGGTTGGGATTTCTAATAGATATCAAAATGTTATGTGGTTATAAATATTTAAATTTATTGATCACATGTTTTTTACAGTCATGTAGCAGCACTTGTAGCAAATACCAATGTGAAATATTATCAAGCACTACAATCAACTATAACCAACAAAATCTAAAACTCTAATCACAATAATCATCCTAATCCTCACAAGCTATAAAGCAAAAAAAAAAAAAAGAAGGAAGGGGGCAAAATCAATTTAAATCTGTATCCAAAAACAAAAGAGGGAAAATCGAAATCAACCATTCAAACAAAAATTCCGGAAACGCAAGAAGAACACTCAGAAAAATGGTTTTAGATCAGAAAGAGTGAAAGGCCCGCGAACAAACCTTGGGGAAGACGGTGGCTTGTTCGGAGGAAGCAGCTGGGTATCAATCGGAGGAGGCGGCGGATGAGAAGAAAAGCGGAAGAAGAAGAATCTAGGTTATTTCAGATTTTATACACATAGCCATAGCTACAGATTATTTTGGTGGCTATTTTGGTGGCTATGTCAATTTTAATTTAATAAGATCTGATTTTTCTTGTTCCTTTGTGCAATTAAATCATGCTCTTGTTGATTGGTGTCTGTGATTTTTCCTTCTGTAGGCGGATGGATGATTACCAATATCTGAATTTTGGTCTGTCAAGTGTTTGCTGAAATGCCTCAATGGGTAATAGTCTTCTTTTGCAAGTGCAAGGCAATTTAATAAGATCTGATCTTTTGATTTCCCATTTTTGGGTGGAAAGCAAATTAGCCAGTTAGTGTTTGATAACGATGCTTGTTCTGGTTTCAAAAGTTCTAGGTAAAATGTAAGCTATGTGCCCATTTACGTTTTCTGCAACCTTCCTTTCTCTCATGTTCATTATGGGCTCTGTGTGTTTACTAGAACAAGAACACAAGAGCCATGTTTAAACAGAGCATCAAACTCAACAGTCCTTCTTGTGTCGAGCAGCAACATGATGATCTCTCTTTTTTGTTTTTTTTTTGTCTCACAGAGATTTTGAAGATATCTGAAATTAAATGGAAGATAGAATAAAGAAGCGAACAATATACAATCTCTCCCTCTCTTATCTCTCTGTTTTTGCTTATAATTGATTGTTTGTTTTGGTTTTCAATTTGTGGAGGATGCCAATACCTCGGAGGTGCTTGAACTCTCCTCCGAAATCCAAGAAGATTCGGGAAAAGGCGCTACGGGAATTTGCAAAACAGGCCGAGGAGGGACTTCAAGATCATCAAGACTTCCTTCCATCATCTCCACCACTCTGTTCATCGGTGGGCGATCTGATGGGGAAGACTGAATACACCACAGACCAACCAAAGTCATCTTCTTTGCTATCTCCTCTTCTTCGTTGCTGATTCCATCCCCGACAAGCCTTCCATTGTCTCCCTTCTCAAGATCTTTATAAATCCATTCTGGAAAGTACATTGAGCTTGTGTTAGATACAGAGTTTTCTGTGAACGTTTTGTTCCTTGCTCCTATCATTTCGAGTACTAACATTCCATAGCTGTATACATCTGACTTGTGAGACACGCTCCCATAAACTCTGGAGATCATCTCTGGTGCAATGTACCCTATCGTCCCTCTCGTGTCTAGCAATGACATGAAGCTCTCTTTCTTCTTGCAGAGTTTAGCAAGTCCGAAATCAGACACTTTGGGACAAAGATCTTCATCCAACAATACGTTCTGAGGTTTAATATCGAAATGAACAATCCTTGTTTTGCAGCCATAGTGCAAGTACTCTAGACCACGAGCCACGCCTAATGCGATCCCATACAGTACCATCCGATCCATGCTCATTGTGGTCTTGCTTGAGATGAACTTATCAAGAGACCCATTTTGCAAAAGTTCATAAATAATTGCTCTCTTGGAACCTTCAGAGCAGAAACCAAGCAGTGAAACTATGTTAACATGAGATGTTTTGCTCATGCTCATAACTTCGTTAATGAAGTCTTCCCCATTACCCTTTGAGTCTTTCAATATCTTCACAGCAACCATACTACCATCGGAAAGGCTTCCTCTATAGACCGTTCCAAATCCGCCTTTCCCAATCACTTCCGCAAATGACTTTATAATTCTTTTCACTTGCGCGTAACTATAGTGTTTCAGTGGAATAAGGGTCTTTAGATTATGTTGTCTGTGATCATCTGATGTTTTTCTCCATCGGAGAAACAATGTGAATATGACCAGGAGCACAAGAACACCCGCTAGTACGCTTGAACCTGGAAAAACAGAGGAAAACGATCAACTTCTAACCTTTTCTATCAAAAATAGTTTGGAATACATAGGAAACTAACCTATTATAATTTTTATGACAGTACCTGTAGAGCATTGAACAGATCAAATTTGTCAGCATGGATAAGATCACAATATGTAATAAACTTAGAAAAGACAATGGTTTACCATGACTCCTCTTTCGAGAACCGCAAGTATGGTCATACGGCCCGTTGTTACAATAACAGACAAACTCTCTTGTGGCTTGACTATATCCACAAGCACCCCCAGAGTCTGTGCAGATGGAACATTCTCGGTTAACTCCAACCTTGAAACCCTGTTCAAGAGCCTTCTTTAGATTATCTGAAGTCTGAAATCTCTGTAGTGTGTTCAACGCAGGTCCAGACGCAGGAATAGTGACGTTTCTTGTGCAAAACACCCTGAGGATCTTTAAAAGGTCTCTAACCCCGTCAAGTAACGGGGACGAGAGGTTTCTCGTCACATAGTAACTTCTTCCGTTTAGATCATCATCACAACCAAGCTCTTTGAAGTAAGTAGGATCGTATACAGGCGTTGAGAATGAAAAGTCTCGGCAGCCGTAATAAATTGTTAACAGGTCGGTGTCAGGTGAAAATCGGAGGACGTTTTCGTCGAATGGCGCATTTGAAGGATCTTGGGGACAAAGATGGCCGATATAATCAGTTCTTGCAAGTCTTATGATATGAGATGTATAGTTCGCCTCCAAGACTCTGAACTTCACGGAGGCGATATTAAGCTCTGCGAATCCTTCGATACAGTTGAGCTTGAAGTCCGGGTGGCCGCATTCTTCTCTGCCAGGAATCCAGAAAGGGTACAAAAGATTGTTCTGATTGCCGCAAATAAACGCCTGACTGCAGAGTCCGTGAAGCTCACCAGCTGAGAAAACACAAGATGAGGTCACAAGACTCACAAATAGCATCCATATGATTGTACTAGGAGTACATATTCTGTAGGGAACAGCGATAACTTGCTTCCTCTGTTTTATTTCCTTGGAGGTCACTCAATAGGAAAAACAACATAGATGTATGAGAAACTTACCACTAAGTTGACGCTTTGGTACGCAAATGACTCCTGACGGTGAGGTCGTCTTGCAGCAAACTTGTGTGGTACCATTGAAGCTGCATATTCCACCAGAGGACGAACATCCTTGACAACTTATCTCATCGATCTTCACTTTTACCTCGAACCCTTTTCTGAGAACACTTTCCAACTGTTCTAAACTAAACTCTCTCTCTTCTGGGAAAAAACTCATCGGAACATTCACGGTGAAACTCTGATTACATAAAGACTGTTTCTCCGGTCGTGGAGACACTGACACAATACCCTTATCAAGACATGTAAAATTTGAAAGGTAAAGATTAAGAGGATCGCAAAGGTAAGAAACTGTGAGGTTCTTGTAGGTTGGTAAAAGCTCAAAGATATCGGGTGGCAAGGTTGTGGTACTGAATTTAGCGGAGCAAAAAGAACCTAGTAGGTCTGTTCTGGTAAGTGTAAGAGTGTAAGATGTTTGATCTACTTTGAAAACAGAGTACTCTCTGTCTGAGATGATTAAAGTTGTACTGTTATTGTTGTTATTGCAGTGAAGCTCCAGCAATGGAAGACCGCAATTTTGAGGTCGATTCCCACCCCAGAAGGGGAAACTAGCGGTTATGTTCCCACACTGAAACAGAGCCTCACACCACCCAAGTTCCTTTTGACTTGAAGCACAAGGAAGGTAGTACAATAAAAAGCAGAGGAAGAATATTACCAGACACAAAGTGGGTTTTGAAAATCTGATGAGTGCTCGAGAGTTCATATTTGATTTCTGAAGGGTTTATCTTCTGGGTTTATTTTGGTTTGTGCTAACAGGACCAGAGGAATTGGTAAAAAGAGAAAGACAGAACAAATAAGAACAGCAAAACATTGAAAAAGAGGGTAAAATTTCTTTCTAAGATCCATTGTTGCGATCACCTAAAAGTCTGCTTCTAAGAATTTTCTCGGGAACTGAATAAAGTTATGGAGTTAAATAGTTACTATGAATGAGAGAGACTTGTGTATAAACGTATGCCACATGCAGTGTTGTCTTAAGAAGACTTTTTTCAACTTTGATCAATGTTGTCTAATAACAGAAAAGTCGCGAGAATGGAAAAAATGATTAGGAAAAATTCAACAACCACTAAAAGGCAAGATCCAAAAGAAGATGAACATCTGATGAGGAGAAGGAGAAAAGATGGAAAAGAAGATGATTTTCAGATTTTTCAGCTCTCAAGAATTGTAGTAGCATTCTAAATAATCAACCACGACTAAAACTCGGGGCTAAGTGACAACATTGTGTTATTGGTTATGAAATTTATAGGGTATACATTCAAATAAATACTTCATATCCTGAAATTCTCAATAAAATTCCAAAAAAAAAACACAGTAAAAACCGATGGATTGTCTCCCAAAATTATGGTGGAGTTGAAATTAATGTAAGTGCGGTTTTCATCGAATAGTATCCAAATAAATGTGCAACCCTAAACATGAAATCAGTTTGGTGTTTAGAGAAATTTAACGCTGTCTTGCTTGCTAAACAATTTTGGAAGTTTATATATCCATTTCCAATTTTTTTAGGGATAAAGAGGTAGTATATATTACGAGGTTTTAATTAAGGAATTGACAAAATGTATATGTATTAGAAAAAATTAGCAAAAAGATGCCAAAAAGGTAAAATTTGCATAATTTATTTATAGCAATTGCTATTTTACAGCAATTGCCATAGCAAGCGCTTGGCAATTACTCATGATTTTTATGTTCTCACACACATTAAAAGAAAATAATGGAAGAATCATATATTCCTTCTGTTTTTATTAGATGATATTTTAGAGATATGCACACAGATTAATAAATCATATATTTTTTTTTTATTTTTTCAAAACAAAACATATCTTTTTGTCAATTCCAAAACAGTTCAACCAATAAAAAAATACGATTCAGAATTCAAACAGCCAAAAGAACAAAAATACAATTAATTTTTGCATAGAAATTTGAAAACATCATATATTTTGGAACAAAAAATAAACTCTAAAACATCATCTAATAAAAAACAGAAGGAGTATATAATTAGGAAAAACTCTCTCCAGTGGAGCTATCTCTACATCAGCAACTTATTTTTATTTTTATAGGCTTTTAAGTATATTATTTTCATGGGTTTTTATTTTGTATATAAATACTTTACAAACCAGAAAATATAATTTATCTAATTTTTATATTTAAATGGAATTTTACATATGACATAATTTAAAAGTGCAAAAACAAACACTTATTTTACAAGCCACAAAAATATAAAATATCTACAAATAAAAAATTTAAGATGTTATTTCGCATAAGAAATAAAGAAAATGTGTGAGATTGATAGTTAATTTATTTTGTTAATCTCTTCAAAAATAAGCGGCATATAAAATAATGAATAAAGTTATGGAGAGAAAAGAAATAAATACATGTGACAACGTATAAGTATAATATCAAGTTTTTAAAACAATTAACAAATTGCAATTTATATTTATAAAATATATTAACAATTACTCTAAATATTTTTAGGTTAATTAAAAAACTAAAACAGTATTTAAAATTAAAAATGAACAGACCAATTATTTTATATAGATAAATATAATTGTAATTTAAAAATATGATTTCAATTAAGAAATAAAGAGATTTCGTGGGATTGATAGTGAATTGTTTATGTTGATCTTGCTCAAAATAAGTGATCTAAAAGAAAAAAAAACAAATAATAAAAATATTTAGTGAAAAATATAGATATATTCGATAATATATAAGTATGAAAGTGAGTTTTTAACAATTAACATGTTACAATTTATATTTAAAAAAACCAACTTCAAATTAAGTATACATATTTTAGGATAATAAAAAACTAAAAAACATTTAAAATTGAAAAATAGAACAAAACTATTAAAAAGGTAAACATAACAGTAATAGAAATATATAAAATTATAAATTTAAAAAATTGGATAAACAAAATACCATCGCAAATTTCTGTCAAAATATAAATTTAGAGTAGTATTTCAAATAAGAAGAAAAATAAGTGAGTGAGACTGGTGGTGAATTAACTTTGGAGATCTCACTAAAAATAATTTAAAAATTAAAAGAAAAGTCAACTAAATAGAGATATTCAATAGAAAAATCTAAATATTTATAACATCTTATAAGTATAAGAAAATATTTCTTATCATTTAACACATCACAATTTTATTATCAAAAAAAATTACAATAATTTCATATATTTTAAAATAATGAAAAAATAAAAGTAATGTTTTTATTTCAAGAAAAAAACAAAAGCAAATATAAAACCATAAAAAATAAAATGATAAATAAACATACTAATTATATAAATATATAAAATTAAAAAATTGATTTACAAATAACTCCGCGCAACGCGCGGATTAATTTCTAGTATTAATATAAATAGACTAATAAGAAGATTAACATGTGAAGAAATAATATTAGCTAATTTAGTAAAATATTAGAGATCTATATTTATATTAACATGATACAAAAATAGATTAATATCTTAAAAAAACATATAACTTTGCATTTAACAATATATATATGTATTTATTATTGTAGACTTTTATATAAGGTTATAGATATATATATATATATATATCTTCTATGATAAAAGAGATAAATATTATATTAAGAAAACATATAACTATATATTTAACAATATATAGATATATTTATTATTATGATGAAAAGTATAAGTTATTTATCATTTTATACATATATATATATATGAATAATGTGTGTTTGTATAAATAATTGAATGAGAGATTAAGAGTGCCGGAGATGGGTTTTAATTCTCCAAAATTTTTAGAGATCAAGTTAATAATTTTTTTTATTAAAGATCAAGTTGGACGAAATTCTTCAGTTGTGATCAGATTTCCCTCAGAATCTCACCAGATCAACAAAATGTTAGCGGCAAAATCAATTGTTGGAGCTGTCTCTATTGGTTGAAATCCAAAGAAGTTTCAACGGACGTAAAAGCCAGATGAGTCATATAGCTTGAGTTTGTTTTTTTTCAAAAAGACTATATAAATAAAAATATTATTAATCTGTAAATTAATAGAGACAAACTTAGAATAGAAGAGATCTTCAGCGTGGTGTAAGTAGAATTGTCAGGTGTAGATCTTCATATGATGATGGTAAACGTGGTGTATGATACAGGTAGAGCTGTTAGTCGTAGATCTTCATAGGACGATAGAATTGACCATTATAGAATCGTTGATGTAACGATTCTCGTAATTTATAATAGATTAAATCAATATATATATCAAATAATGATATTATGGATACTTTTGTTCAAGTGCGTGGGGTATAATCGACGAAATGGGTGGTAAATTATTTTGATGTTTGAATCTATAAATTGATATTGTTAGTTTTGTAAGTTTGACCCGCTTTTTTTGCTATTCATTAATAATACTCTTTTTTTAATAGGAATGTGCACCCTTTAAAAAAAAAAAAAAACGTGCTCAACTAATAAAAGATCACAGTCCATTAGGAATCTAACACATTCTTGAAGTCGAGTGGTTAGAACACTTGATCAAGTAAATCCATTTTGTCAAACAGTCTCTCTTGAAAACTGAAATAGACTTGATGTGCATCTCACTATTAAAATTCATTAGCTTTTAAATCAAAACCAATCGATAATTAGTAATTTAGTTAATCTCTTTAATAGTAGTATATATTACTTTCTCTGTTTTATAAAGAGTGTTATTTTGGCATTTTTTAAACAAATTAAGAAACTTAATAAAAATTCTATTCTATCATTTATAAATACATTAAACAACTTTCTTTTTCTAAATAGTACATTAATATAATAAAGTTAAAACTATTTCTGTTTAAAAATTTGCAATGAAAATACAAAACAACATTTTTTTTATGAAACAAACACTTTTTATGAAAAAAGAAAGTATTTGAAATGTTTACTAATTTCTGATATGTAATACTTTTTTTAGTTAACTCTTTGAAAATAATAGTTTTTTGGCCATTGGTTTTGATATACTCATACATAAATCGACGTGACTAATTTTGGGTTGGGCTGATTTTGTGTGAGACAAATTTTAAATCGGATCGATAATAGATCATATCTATATTATTAAAAGAGAAGCACATTTTTAAAAATGTTTAGTTTTTATTATGGTATTTACTAAGTGTACCATTACATTTACCAAAAAATGTTATGAATTTATTACATGTATTAAAGAGAAATTAATTATGTCAAAATCGTATAGAACATTGAAATTAAGATACATCTGCTTACATACAATTAAGTTATAATTACGGTAATTTTTGTTGTCATATTCTATTAAAATCAATTCAGCTTGGTTCGATAAATAATTAGTGTATGTTTTAGAAAGCTTATTAATTACCAAACCACAAGGTCTCCTATTTTGTACATAATGCTGAATCAACAAATCAAAACTTGAACTTGAACTAAGCTTAAATTCTTTGTAAGACCAAACCGCCAAAAAGCGCATCAAAAATCTCACATAGGCTAGAGATAAAGCAGAAGCTTTCCGATAAAGATGAAGAATTTAGCTTTTAAACCATCATTAAACCAAATCATTATTAAACTAAACCGATATAAACCTAAGCGTACCATATACAATAGAAACTGTATAAATTAATAATGTTAAAATTTTGATATTTTATTAATTTATAGAGTTATTAATTTATCGATATTAAATAAAATAAATTATTTATTAATAATTAATTAAAAATAATATTTTATTTAAAATTTATAATATTTTTCAAAATTTTCATTAT